CCAGACAAAAGCATCACCTGAAATGATGGTTTTCCTAGGCTTTTTTTCATATTGCAGTTTATATAGTTCCCCCATGTCAACATGGAACTGGAAATCAGACAATTATGGCAATCAACACATCATATTATCTTGGTTCTACGAGCCATTTTCCAGGATGTAATGTGCTTTATAATCATCCCAATTATTACTATGGAAGATATGTATAAATATATATAATTACGCACTTGTAACGTTTGGACAGGATGCTAGAAGCAGATGTTTTAAACTGTATGTTACTCAGTTGTACAATATATCAGATATGAGGATTTGTTTTTCCAGATGCTTACCCAGAAAATTAGGGTGTACAACTTAGGTGTGTTCATGGGAAGAGAAGGCACCCTGACCAGCATGTAGCACCTAATTGTATGTGAAAGATCAAATACCGTGTTTTCATAAATTATTTTCACAGAATATACTTGAAGAAATGTCACTTGTATACTGATACATTAAAATGAATGAAAAAGCAGCCAATTTATTAATTTTTATGCTATATTGAACATAGTAATAAAACATGATGTTGTGGACTTGTAACAGCTCTCACTGTACTTTATTAAGAACCCGAGTTTACTCTGTAAGTTGACGTGGCAGAAACAAGAAACAAATGTCAAATTAATACTTAACAAATGAATAAAACAAACTTAATGCAGAACTGAACTAACACAGAAAAATTTACATAACATTACAGTAGGGACATCAAAATGGGATAATACTAAAAAATGATTTTAAACCAAATCAATGAAACATCCACATTAAAAAAAAATACACAATATGAACACCATTCAGCTATAGCACAAGTAAAATCAAAATATCAAATTAATTAATATAATAGTGAACATCAGCATAGGGGTTCTTTTAGATGACTGCATATGACAGTGATAGGTATATGTGTATCTAGGTGCAATAAAATGTTATTATATTACCTGCTCCTAGAAGTCAATTCGTCCATCCATCAAGACAGCTTCATCAATAATGTCGCACCATTATCCAAACCTTCCCCATAGACACTCAGTACCAGCATCTTTTCTACAATGGAAAAACTATACTGTTACCAGTACCATATTATTATTATTATTATTATATTAAGTGTTCAGCATGGATATCACAGGGGTATTCATTTTTTTATTGTTTGGCTACTGGGATTCAAATGCAATTTTGCTCATTCATAATTTCCTTATTATCTAATATTATTCATATTCATCTTGATGTAATTTTTCACATTCCTGTAAATGTTAAAAGTGAAACCAACCGTTCCCACTGACATGCTTCAGCTGACGTCTGTGGTTTGTCTAGATATTATGTAAATGTAATCTTCTCATGATTTTCATTGTTACAGAGTTAAAGCTCTTTGTGTACAAATGAAATCTGGAAAATTTAAAAGCCAAAAGCATTCCTGCAGTTTTATATGGGGATCCTGGGGTGGGGGTGGGGGTGGCATTAAATATTATAAGAAAATTCAACGGAGAAGTGGGGGTGGGGCAATCCCCCTAAATCCATATTTGACCTTGAAAACATTTTCACAGTTAATATCAGTCATAACACACATATATGTGTTTACCAACAATAACCCCATTTCTTTATTTAAATTATTAATCTTCTTAAAAGTCATAAATTCTCTATAATATTATATAAAACTAATTCAAACAGCTGCCCCCATAGTTTATTTCCCACAGCCCAAAGGATCATCAGGAGCATAAAATTTCAAAAAGATGCTGGTTTTAAAAGGGACAACATGTTACATCAGATCATACCCAGCAGGCAAAGTGACATTGGATCAACATTGAAAACAGGTTGGGAAGTTGAATCGCCGTTGATCTACCTCAAGTCAACGTCAAATCAATGTTGATCCAGCCACGTCAAAACGCCGTCATAATGTGACATTGACTCGACATTGTATTTTGGTCATTGACTCAACGTTGTTGTTTGGTCGTCGTGATACAAGACATGGAACATAATTTAAAATATTAATTATTGAAAACGTGATACTATGTTTATCAATACTGTAACAAACTTCATCAAAATATTAAAAATGGCACTTTAAAGTAAAAGTGACAGTCGTTTGTGTCTTTAGTGAACTAGTGAATTTTCTTAACTTATTATTCAGAAATACATTCCAATAAACTTCCTTGCAAGGTCAGCTAACACTAGGATGAATAAGTCGCTGTGAATGTGATGGAATGAAGTTAACAATGTTGACAGTTCATGGTAACGTATAATAGATAGACAGGTTGAAGTAACCATGACTGTCTTATATATATATATATAGTGTTAGAAATTAAGGCTGGACCGTCTGCCCGGGGCTGACAACTTTCAGAACGGGCTGATAAGTTTTCCCACCTGGCAGACATTCAGTCCAGCTACTTTTCAAGATGGCTGGACTTTTGGTCCAGCAACTAATTTTCCTAAGAGGCAAACACTGTGTATATATATATATATATAAAACTAAAAACTAAACCTAGGAAATCCTAACTTAAAGGCCATACATATATACCCTACACATGGTTAGCCATCAGACACATCCTACTGCTAAACACATCCTGGCTAAAAGGGTGTAACATGCGTAGGTGCAAAACATGCTTAGGAGCTAAATGCGTTGAAAAAATGAGACAAAGCAGGCACTTAAATGTTTTTACAGTGTACGTTATAATTGTGTACCTGTGTTTTGTACCAAAAATAAAAAATTTCAGGTCATTTTAATGTCTTTTCATGCAAGAATGTTGTCTAACAACTGGGGTTGATACAATGTTGTTATCTGACATTGTTACAACGTTGTCATTTGACATTGATCCAACTTTCAAATCCAATGTTAATCCAACGTCTAGTCAACCTTATAGTTCAACATTGTTTCAACGTTGAAACAACATGATTTGCCCGCTGGGTACATACTGTTGACATAATTAATACAATGTATTGCAATAAATTAAAATTACATAATCTATACATCATAGTTCCAACACAATATCAGCTAGTGTACCATTTGTATGTATAAAGCTTTTCAACAGGTTTTTTTTTAAATATCAACACTATAATATAAAATTTCTCCCAGAATCACAGTGACTGTCGTCATTTTTAATGACATTTGAATATGGTCTCACTGTCCTGAGGATGGTCTATTTTAATTTCGTAGTCCATGCTGCCCTATATTGTAGCTCCAAATATAGCTGTTCATGGAAGTCTGCTTGTGTTTGTTGGAGCAGCTGAAGGATAGTTTGTGGTTGTTGTATCTTAACTCAACCCCTCTTTCAAAATGGTAATACTCAGTATATTCTCTGGTTTCTTTTTCTTTGTAAGTGATGTTCTTAACTACCAGAAGTCATTTTCCATTCATTGGGCATTCAGTCAACTGTTTTATCATTTTCATTTAGTTTACTCGCAGCTACTGATGATGTTATTGTTCTTTGCTTTAATAACAATTTGAGGTATGCTGTCCACACAACTATAGTTCATGTAAATACATCTTGCTCATTAACTCTTGCATTGACATTGTCCTTAATTTTTAAGACTTGACACAAAATGTGTGTGTGTGTGTGTGTGTGTGTGTGTGCGTGCATATGTATGCCCCATAGTAGAGTTAGAGGCAAGTAGTGTTATATTCATATATAAATACATATTAGATATGTAAAGGTATCCTATATATCTTTCCCATTTCAGATGTGATAAAAATGATAAAACCCATCAATTTGAAAAAAAGTGCCCAATGTTGCTAATTCCCTCTGAAATGAACAAAAACCTTTCAAAACCACTACACAATAAGAGCCCTGGTCTTTTGAAAGATTCTGTCCATTCTTGCCAACAGTTCGTCTTTAAATTTATACATGTAATAGTCCCTCTCAGCTGGCTTTTTGGAATCTTTTGGAGGGCGACTCCTATAATGCCACATAGTGCCCAGATGTACAGGGATATCAAAAGGGTGAGAGCCACTAAGATGCACCACATGATGTACACGACATTTTGACACCCCTTTGCCTAGAACCATCACTTTTGGGCGTGTGAATACAATTTCGCTCTCTGCCAACGTGTACTCCAAGGAAACGGGGTGATACTTAATGAGGAGAGGGTCATTGTACTTTCCCAATTCTTCTTTCACCCGGTTTCTCAACGGGAAAAAACGGTTGTGAAAAATGAAAGAGCTGTAATTTTTAGGGATGAGTTTCACCAACTCGGGCCAAGTTCGGTTGTACCCTGGAACCAACATCTCATCCAGGTCGTAGAACGCAATGTATTTATATTTGTGCAGATTGCGATATAGACATTCTGTATGGGCCAGAACCTGAGTACACTGGTCTTCAAAACCCTTCACAAAACGTTCCTCCTCTGGATTTAATACATGGTCAGTTACCATCCCTGCTAACTTCCAATTCACCAGTTCCAACAAGCCCTGTTTCTCATACTCCCTGATTACAGGGTTTAAAACAGTGAGGTTCCCTAAATAGTCATACAAAGTGAAATGTGTTGCTCCAAACATACGACTAAGTTCAATGAATTCCACCAACTGCCTAGTCCTGTTATACCCACGATGCATTGGTTTGATGCACACTGCATAGGACTCTGGGAGATTGTCAGGAACGCGGGCATCAATGATTGGAAGGCTGGTCACTGGTACAGCACACGGAGACTCAGTGACGGATACTGCATATGGAATTACCTCAGGCTCTATTTCACACGTCCACTTCACCTGCAGATACCTAGAAAAACAAGACTGCAGTGTGACATCTCATGTTTCAGAACTAGATAGGAAGTATATAAAAAACCTTAAAACTCTTTCCAACTCTGAACTGAATTAATGTTTGGTCTTAGGGACCATTCCTACAGATATTTGGATAGATCTATCTCCCTGGGGAGTCTCACTAAATTGTTATCAACTTAACCAGCTTAAATATCTGTCACGCCTAGTAAAGATGTTAGGGGGTTATCATCTTTAGCCCCTAGCTGATTCGGTAGGCATGACAGACATTTAATATGGTTAAGTTGATAGCAATTTAGTGAGACTCCCCAGGGTGTTAGACCTATACAGATGGATCGATCTAGGCATGGGAACCCAGTCTTAAATTAAAATCTGATTTTCCTGACCAGTGAATAAATATTTTTTTAAATTTGTGTAACAGCTATGCATGTAAAGATGCAACAGCATCATGTGATTATCTCAAAAACAGTAGTGCAACTTGGTCAACTTTTTATATTATTTACTAATCTGTTGTTTTAAACAAAAGATTCTCAGCTAACACACAATCACATCTGTAAAAGCTGTCAAGCCCTTACATTTTTTTTAATCATCACACTGGCACCTCTAGCACATTGCAACATCCAATTCACTGCCATATTATATATAAGCCAATGTGCCCTTCTATCTGCTGTTACATAACACGATTGCTGCCATCTGGTCACATCTAACACAATCATTCATGTCTAACACATCTGCCAACACAATTGCACATTTATTAAATATCACCCAATCACTTCTTAAAGTGACGTTACATCTAACACATATCAAAAACAATCGTAGCTGAATTATCTACCACAATCAGTCACATCTAACACAATCAATGTTGTCAGTTCTAACAAATTTATCACATCTAACACAATCAATGTTGTCCGGTCTAACACATTGTCACATCTAACACAATCAATGCTGAAACATCTACCACAATCAGTCACATGTAGCACAATCAATGTCGACAGGTCTAACACATTTGTCACATCTAACTCAATCAATGTTGTCGGTTCTAACACATTTGTCACATCTACCACAATCAATATTGTCGGTTCTAACACATTTGTCACATCTACCACAATCAATGTTGTCGGTTCTAACACATTTGTCACATCTAACTCAATCAATGTTTTTGGGTCCAACACATTTGTCACATCTAACTCAATCAATATTGTCGGGTCTAACACATCTGTCACATCTACCACAATCAATGCTGTCACAGCAAACACAATCACACTAACCTTTTCCCTCCACAGAGACGATATATATAATCTGTAGTAGTATGAACTACTTGATTGTAAGGTTTCCCAGTAGTTTTGTTCTGATACCATAACTGGCAGTAAAGCCTGTTAGGTTCAGAGGACTGATATGCCATAACACAAACTTTGGCAAAATTCCCCCTCACGTCTAGGTAAGCACTGAAAATGTAATTTGCAGAATCCACACTTTTGTTAGTGACAGGCAGCCATAGCTGCTGCTCCGAGATGCTGGGCAACACAACTGGAAGATTTGGACAGCTTTTGTGATCTTTTATGTGAATAACAGGATTTTTCTTTTTGTAATTTGTTGGATTATTGGTCTTCTTCTCAGATGTTACTGTCACAGTATTTTCTTTTAAAGTTTTATTCATCAGACCTGTCTCCAAATTCTCAGACATCCTTTGCTTGGCATTTTCTTTTATGTTTTCTTCCACAATGATTGACTTTCTGTTACTTCCTCTGGATCTTGTGTCATTGACAAGATCTTCACTGCTCTGTAACACCTTGGATGAAATTGCTAGTTTTGCTTTATCATTTGTTAATACATTCCCTCCCAGAGGATTTTTCACATGCAGCGTCTTTGTACTTGTAGAAATAGCATCCAGTGACCTTCTTTTTTCCTCTTCAACTTTGTGTATTTCCTTGCTCATCTGTTTTTGTGCATGTTTTGATTTTACTGCAAGCCAAAAAGTTTCAAATAACATCACGCCAAATGCCAACAACCCAAGAATCAACAACAGTCGGGCTATCTTTTGAGAAAAAGTGTTCCTCACCATCTTAGAACTTGTTTCTAATAGCCACGAGTGCCACCAGCAAGACAATTAATTATCCACTGTGTTAATATTTATGATACATTGTAGATGTAACTGTGGTTGGTTATCTATTTCTGCAGTGACTGGTACACAATATAAAACAACAGCCAGTGTTGTAGTTCCTCACTTCTTAAAACCCCCTTTACACTGGACGGTGTCCTTTCTGCGTCCTTTGTGCGACCATGAAACTGGCATCCCTGTGGACGTAGAAAGGAAACACAAGCAATCGCTTTAGTTGCAGAAAGAATGTTCAATGGTTGGCCACTTGTCGGCATGTAAAGTATAATTATATTTTACTCTCGGGGCCGTACTACGGGTCGCAAAAAGGACGCTGTCCAGTGTAAAGGGGGCTTTATTGCTCGCATAATATGGGTCGGAACAGTCTTGACGATCTCTCCAAGTCTCTATCTATCTTAGAGGCCTAAATTATATAAGGAATCATTTCTGCGTGCCATAAATCAATTATCTGGCATGTCTTATATTATAGGAAATAAATTAATTTTATCAATTGTTATATATGTGTTTGTTTGTAGATATACTTATTTAGTGCATGCCAGTATACAGGTTATTTTACTGCTTTTGTCCAACGTTGAATTTTTTTATGAAACCTGCTTCAAAGCAATTAGTTTAAATAATACATTTGACAATTATTATCACATAGATTACAATTCTGACTATGATCACAATATGATCAGCAGGATGGGAAACAACATCCGTCATCACCATTATGGTGGTACTCCGTTTGAGATAGCGTTTGGTAGTTTTGCTGAGGGGCACAATAGCATCTTCAACAGGGATTTCAATAACAGAACAATAGAAGCAGCAATTTAGAGCTGCAATAATTTTATAAAGATTATCATTATTGCTTTTTTTTGTCTTGCTTGCATCGTTTACAATCTGCTGCTGACGATATGAATATTGCCTTATCATCTCACTTCCAAGGATCGTTGTTGATCTCATGCTGACAATTTTCCCCTAACAAAGTCCCTTGAACAAATATGAAAATTTCCTGCTCCTCTCGCTTAGATTACTAACCATCTCCTGGTGACGATATGAAAATTGCCTTCTAGGCTAGCTCAGATCACTGCTGATGGATCCAGTAACAAACTCCCCTTGAACTAGTATGAAAATTGCCTTATCATTGCACTCAGATCACTCACAATCTCCTATTGACAATCTTCCAGTCCCTTCCTCCCAGATCACTGCCTCCCATAAAGACCCTTTTCTTTATTTAAATTATTAAAGGGATAATAACTCTTCGTTTTGGCCAAAAAATGAATTTTCCTGGAGTAAACAACAATTTTTCCATACTTACCAATGGTTAATGAATCCATTTTTACATTCAAAGTTAGTCCCTGGTTTTTTTCTAAAAAGTTTGGTTTTTTGTTAAAATCTCTTAAGAGATTATAACAGAGTACAGCCATCAATGGAGGTCACTTGATCTGAAGACAAGCTCAGATATCAGAATAATAGCTATAACTGCAGTTTGTGTGGTAAAACAGAATATATTATATTTCTATGAGTTGTTCACAATGTTTTTATTGTGAAATATAGATATCATGCAAAGAGTTATTATCCCTTTAATCTTCTTTAAAGTCATATATTCTCTATAATATTATATAAAACTAATTCAAACAGCTGCCCCCATAGTTTATTTCCCACAGCCCAAAGGATCATCAGGAGCATACAATTTCAAAAAGATGCTGGTTTTAAAAGGGACAACATGTTACATCAGATCATACCCAGCAGGCAAAGTGACATTGGATCAACATTGAAAACAGGTTGGGAAGTTGAATCGCCGTTGATCTACCTCAAGTCAACGTCAAATCAATGTTGATCCAGCCACGTCAAAACGCCGTCATAATGTGACATTGACTCGACGTTGTATTTTGGTCATTGACTCAACATTGTTGTTTGGTCGTCGTGATACAAGACATGGAACATAATTTAAAATATTAATTATTGAAAACGTGATACTATGTTTATCAATACTGTAACAAACTTCATCAAAATATTAAAAATGGCACTTTAAAGTAAAAGTGACAGTCGTTTGTGTCTTTAGTGAACTAGTGAATTTTCTTAACTTATTATTCAGAAATACATTCCAATAAACTTCCTTGCAAGGTCAGCTAACACTAGGATGAATAAGTCGCTGTGAATGTGATGGAATGAAGTTAACAATGTTGACAGTTCATGGTAACGTATAATAGATAGACAGGTTGAAGTAACCATGACTGTCTTATATATATATATATATATATATATATATATATATATATATAAAACTAAAACTAAAAACTAAACCTTGGAAATCCTAACTTAAAGGCCATACATATATACCCTACACATGGTTAGCCATCAGACACATCCTACTGCTAAACACATCCTGGCTAAAAGGGTGTAACATGCGTAGGTGCAAAACATGCTTAGGAGCTAAATGCGTTGAAAAAATGAGACAAAGCAGGCACTTAAATGTTTTTACAGTGTACGTTATAATTGTGTACCTGTGTTTTGTACCAAAAATAAAAATTTCAGGTCATTTTAATGTCTTTTCATGCAAGAATGTTGTCTAACAACTGGGGTTGATACAATGTTGTTATCTGACATTGTTACAACGCTNTAAAAATCTATTTTCTATTTGCGGTATCTTATGATCACGGTCTGTGCCCTGAATATCCTGCCGCGTAATTACTGGCAGCGCGAGCCAGTTACTGATAGTAACTTATAGTAACTGCCTCGCGCTGCCAGTAATTACGCCGCGGGAAATTCAGGGCACAGACCGTGATCATAAGACATACCGCGAATAGAAAATAGAATTTAGAAAATAGACATTGCATGTGAACGAAGCCTAAGTCTATCAAGTCTGAGAACGCATTCAGAACAGTGGACTAACAGATCTTAGG